TGAAATATTTTATGTCAACGTCAATGTCATCAATAACTTGTATTTGAATTGTTATTATTGTTCTTGTTATTAGAATTAGCCTATAGAGATTTAGGTGGTTGCGAAGTGTAGCTGATATATTTGTTCGAATTGGCTACGAAAAGAAGAATAGAAGACTTGTGTATCAGCGTCTTGCTATGCACAAATGAATTTTTCAGCAGAACGCCAGACACCAGATGAGCCCTGTCGCACTGCGGCACTTGTTCATGTTAAAGGGTCTCGCTATTTAACTTTTGTTTAGACAAAATCATAGATTGAAAAGTACGACAGTAATTCGATTATGAAACACAAACAGGATCAGTAAACTGATGGCTTTTTCATATTATAATGATGTTGAAAACGTACATATGGTGAAGTGTGTGCAATTTATAAGCAACGAGAGATGCGGCCCTGATTTTAGTTGATTTATGCTCATATAACCTTTGACGTGTTTATTCTGGCTTGCACTCTGGTGTACACAAACGTGCACCACTATTACGCCGATGACTTATACAAGTTTAGCCCTGCACCTGTAGCGAATACGCTAAGTAAAGGTGACCTAGTAAATCCATTGACCAAGACAGTTAGACGATTACCGCCGGACAATAAAAGCAACAGGTCTATTTATTATTAGAATAATTATATTACATTATATATATTAAATATATTGTATTATATATAATTTCTGTATATATATATATATATATATATATTATTATTATTATTATTATATATATATATATATATATATATATATTGTGCATATTACGTGATAGTTTTATATTAGAAGCACATGCTAACTGAACTGGGATTCTTTGATATGCGTTTCGATTTAAAATTGCAATTTTAATTTTCACTCCGTTCCATTACTTGCCACAGCACAATGCGCTTACTCAGAAAGGCAATCCAAGATAACGACTTCATGAAGCATTTGGAATACGATCAAATCACAGCCACCGTGGATTGTTTGTTTCCGGTTGAATATTCGCAAGGTAGCACGATTATCCGAGAGGGTGCAGATGGCTCTACGGTCTACGTCATGGAAGGTACGTCGTTTTAGTACAAAGATAAAGATGGCGACGAGGTGAACTGAATTCGTAAGTCGTTCAAAATCATTGGGTTCGACCACGTCGGCACCTCATAGGCGCGGCCTTACCTTATGGGCTCAGCCATAGGGAATATTGAAATCACTCTGCGAGCGAGATAGAATTTTGTTGTTAATCGCTCTAGTTTTGCAGTTGTATCGTAAACGTTAAAGAACACATTGCCAAAAGCGTATGAAATGTTGTGTAAAACGAAATTTTTATCAATCGGAACTTTAGTTATCGTGGGGGATATTTGCTTCAATGCGAATTTTCACTCTTTTTGCTTGCTGCATGGGCACATGCGGTAGATGACTGAAATATAGCAGGTATCGTGCTCAAGTACTGTAACGCCTGGGTGTCTATAAATCGTATTCCGCAACAGGTCACTCCATATCAGATCCCGCATACACGAGCGGATAAATAAGAAGGGACGGAAATAGGTAATAAAAAGTAGAATCGTTTTAAAGCCAGGGCTATGGAGTGGTATCGAGCCACCTTATCAAATTCTCACCTTGTCAATTTATCCAATTAAACAAGTACACTTTGCTATCTTTCCAGAGGGAACACTTGAAGTCACGAAAGGTGGTAGTAAAATAAACACGATAAATGCAGGCACGGTGTTCGGAGAACTGGCTATACTCTACAACTGCGAGAGGACTGCATCGGTAACAGGTAAGGGCGTCTTCCTCCTCGTTCATTTTACCTAATCTCGACTACAGCCTTCACCTTCCTTCAATATTCGTCCAGCTACCTCCCGCGTTATCGCTGTTTTTCTTTCTGCTACCTTCTCTTTTCATAATTATCCCTAGCCTTTACTCCTTTTCCTCTTATGGCTCGTCTTTCATTTTTTTCTTCTTTACTTTTTCCGTTCTCACTCGCAGTTCTTGATATTATGACTCAAATTTTCTCCTTGCTTATCAACATTCCTCATTTTCCTTAGAATTGCATCTTCCATCTTCCAGAATGTTACATGCAGCCAGAGCCGTGGCAACCGAACCCCCCTTTTTGCATGGACCCAGCTGTTGCTCATTCCACGGTATAAATATGCACTTTTTGATCACGGAATTTTGCCTACGGCTCCGTTTATTGCTGTACAACAAACAGCATATTATCAAGAGCGTATAAAGAAGGGCTCTTCTTTATACGCTCTTGATATTATTATACGAAAAAGGTTCGTGCCCTAATTCTACATATTTAGTCAGCATGCCGCCTATGGGGCAGAAAATAAATTCAAGGGCTTCGCGACCTTGGCCTGTTCATACTTTGTCCTACTAACGCGTTACTCTCCCTGCTCCCGATCCGTCGGCTCTCCGCGAAAGCAGATGGTTTCGTATAGCAAATCCTCTCGTACTGTTCCAGATGTGAAATTATTAGTAGACGACTGTATGCATGGTGCGAGAATTCTATTTTCAAACGGCAGCCTTAGGCTTTGTTGTGTTTCTATGCCCCGGGCGCAATTGTTTGTACACCATTTACTTCACATTGCGTTAGGCGAGAAAAACGCGGTGAAGTAACTAAGACCTCGCGGACGCAATGTTCCGTTCGAATGTGCACATATGTGAATTCGCTCTTATGAAAAATAACCATAGACTGATTGATAGATCGGTTAGTCGGTTAATATATCTATATATATATATATATTAATTAATAAATCTATTTATTTAATTATTTATTTAATATACATGTATGTGTGCGTGCGTTTGTGCGTGCGTGCGCGTGCGTGGGTGCGTGCGTAGGTATATATTGCGCGAAAGAAAACGAGCGAATGATAAAAATGAACAATGATGTGAGAACGAGTGAAAATCCCAGCCCGAACTAAATGTATTATAACCCCAAAGCTGACCCTAGCGCCACGTGCATGTGGACACAAAAAAAACACAAGCAATTACAAAAGTGCATTATAAGCACCTTCTCACAGAATAACACCTCTATCAGGCTCTATGATATATAAGCGCCCTGACCTATCCTTGCCCATCCATCAATTTGTTACTTGTGAGCTCTTGCAAGTTTAAATTGACTACTGCGTGACGAATTTGCTATGGTGTATATTTGTAAAAAATGTGTTGCAATTTGTTTACATGAAAAGTAGGTACTAACGGCACTAACTGTATCCTCAAATTCTTACCTGATAAGATCAAGAGCTTAAGATTTTCAACTAATTAATGATTGATCACGCGACATTAAATGCTTGCTATGGGTTATGTATGAGTCACGAGTGTTTGTTCACATTGAACGGAATAGCAAAATAGGAAGTATAATGCAGAAATTTAATCATAAAATGTTAGCAGAATCACTTACAATTTGTGAAGAAGTGGGATTCTTCTTTTTTACTTTTACTATTTACAGTGACGTAGTCACTTGCGAGCCTCTCTGCATTCTTCTGCGATGACCTTGCGCTTCTAGTTTTCGGTATCAGTGCTTCCTAGCTGTTTCACGTAGCCTTCTTCCTAACACGCCAGATTAATTGCCACCGCCTGTACGGCACGGGCCTTTTTTAACGCTGCCACGTGCACGCGAAACGGGTTAAACGAATCTAACTAACGAGTATATAGAGGCGAGTGCGTGTCGGCTTCCATTTTGACAGCTGCCGCCTTGAGAGAAATTACTCCAGGTCGCTCGGTAATTATTGTGGTCGAGAAACTCAGGAACTCAAAAACTTCAGCGGTCATTGTTTTGTCTTGAATATATATATATATAAATTTATTTATTTATTTAATTATTTCGTGCGTTTCACGAGATGATTTTCTGTAGCTATATTATATATATATATATATATATATATAACACCGCTAAAGGAATTCGTCTCGTGAACTGCAAATGAGACAGGTTTCACCCACACGCAGATGTGCGGACTGGGTGGTTAGATGTATGAGTAAAAAAGAGGAAGAGAAAGTGGGTGCGAGATAGAGAAGAAACTAGGTTTACGCTCATCTGCAAGAAGAACCCGCAAAAGACAGCGGGGGAGCGCGCAAGCGAAAAAAAGTCTGAAGGGGGAGGGGAACGAGAGAGAGAGAGAGAGAGAGTGTGTGTGCGTGTGTTTGTGTGTAGACTAGAGTACCTATATATCTTTATGTAGGTACTCTACGCGGGACGCGTGATTTTTTTTCCTAGGTCAATCAAGAACATAGGGCTTTGGTGAGCGCTGCTATTGGTTCAGCTTGTTTCGTCGCTCAATGACGTCACAGTGTCGTGATATACATAGCACATCCAAAATTCTTAATTATAATGTGACTGAATAGCCTAGGTAGTACAGCGCGAGCGTTAAGTATGAAAGGTCGGTGTATCGAATCCCATCCGTTTTCTAATTATTTCCCTGTTTTCTGTATTTTTCTATCTTTATCCGTTTAGCATTTTTTTCCAATTAACGCAAATATTTACATGATTTATTTACAACATTTTAATAACAACAATTCATTTTTACAACAATTAAAAATTAAATTTTTTATATATTTTTTAAAATAGGGTTTGGGTTAGGGTTAGGGTTAGGGTCACAATGCAGTGAATGCACCATAAAACAGGAGTTTGAGGCACGTGATTTGTATCTACCAATGGCAGCACTCACTAGAGCCCTATGTTCTTGATTGACCTAAGAAAAAAAATCACGCGGACAGCAGGTCTTTTAACCCTGACATTAACTTACACTCGCCAGTAAAAAGTTTTTGTACGATTTTTGGCATAAAACGTAAAGCATCCCCTCGCAAAATTTCTAAATATCTAAACTTCTGAGAAGTACGATTTTTCAGAAGCAGCTTGTAGAATCGCATGAGCGTGCGTGCGTCCGTCCGTGCGTCCGTCCGTGCGTGCGTCCGTCAACAGTTGGCCACAAATCTAAACGGCTCGACGTACGGATTCGAAAGTCGGGACGTGGGGGGGGGGGTAATCCAAAAACGAGTTGGGATGTCGAAGCTGGGGGGTCAAAGGTCAAAGGTCAAGAGGTGTAAAAGAAGGAGGAACATATCTCCTTAACTTAAGGTATAGGGAGGAAATGCAGAATTGCGGCACAAATCTAGGCTCGACCTAGGCTCGTGTTAGTCGGTGTATAGCATCATGGTAGGAAAAGCCATCACTGTGCCGAAATTGGAGGTTACAAGTCAATGGTCAATGGGGCACAGGGCAGATTTTAGACATTTTCTGAGGACATGGTCTGACGGAGCGATTGTGAAAAACTTTTTGTTTTCAGGGTGACTACCATTTTTTTATGGCTTTAATTTGAAACGACCAGGGTGAAATGACACTTTCCCGCTGACATGCATAAGAGTAAGTGTCGGATAGACCTTTTGATCCCTCAAGAGTAGTGTGTTAAAACATTGATTTGTTACTGTTAAAAAAAGACTGAACTGCTTTTGCTACTTATTAGAGCCCATACCTGTGTGAATGTGAAGGCTACATTGCACAG